GGTTTGTTGGTGTGTTTTTGCTGGGTGGCCCGTGGGGGGTTGTTGGTGGGGTGGGGGGGGGGGGGTCGGGGGTATGCCGGGGCCCTCTCTTACCGGCGCGCTCTCGCGCTTGGAAAAGTTGTCCCCGCTGCCTTGAAGCCTGCCGTGTAGCCTCCCAGGGTTCGATGTCGGTTTGAGTTTATAGAGCACGGCATGGGTAAGGGAGGCTTGCATTAGAACCGTTCGCAGTCGATTGCTGGTTTGCCGTTCTCTAACTGGTAGAATGCATACCGCCTCTAGTCTACAGCGCGATGCATGAATGCGTCTTGTGGTGACTTCAGTAGAAGTACCATCTTTTCGAACCCGTAGAAGAGGATCCGTTGGATGTGCACCATGCAGATTGGCAACCCCACGCAGGGAGGGGTGTTTGTCAGCAAGAGTTTGTTGGCTTTCCAGGAGGCATTCATGCATGGAATCATCCACAAGTTGAAACAAAAAAATGGTACGTTCTGGTAAACTCCCTCAGGGCGACAGCCAGCCGCGTTCTTGTCTGAATCAGACACGTCTCCTTTTGCCCGTGCACGGCAAGCAGGGGCGGGAGTGATGTTCAGTTTTTTCCCCACGACAACGCTCGTGTAATCGGTCGTGATGTGCCCCCGCCTACTGATACTCTTCTGGACGTCGGCTGTACCGCTGTTGCGATGATGTTTTGGGCACATCAATCGGAGTCACACAGAAGAAAGGTCGCATTCACCAACACAGAACACGCGAGAGTGATTGATGTTCACATTTTGTTTCGACCGACCGCTGGCCAGACTTGACTGCTGTGGTCATGCCGCGGCGGAGCTATTTCTACGCCCTCCGGGCGCGTGATTGCCATCCACCCGTTGTTAGACCTGCTACCTCTCTTGTTGTGGGATTCACTATAAACGTTCTTCAGCAACAAAGGAAAACAATGAGACCTCGTTCAAGTGTCGTCCATCTCCCAGCCCATATGAGGAGAAATCCCGTGATCACAGGGCATACATGACTTGAAGAAAAACACAGCGGGACATCATGGGCAATTCCTTCTTGCTTGTGGATGTATGCATATGATGAGTATATGACACAACCGATGGACCTGAGCGACCAACTTTTATTTCCGCGGCGTGCGCGGGATTACTGTGTAACCCTACCCCCAACAAGGCGTGCGACGACGCAAAGCCGGTGCCCCGCCGAACGTAGCGCGACTGCACCTGGTTTCATGTACACGCACGTGCCAGCAAGTCTCGTTGGCTTCACGAGACCGCCTCCTTTTCGCCTTCTCAGCACCGGCCCCGCCACCCCTCCACAACATGCACCCATACATGCTCTCTACCAGTACCACAATTTACTATTATTTTGCGGTGGGAATTTCTACGGCACAGATTCTCACCGAACTAGTGTACAGACGAACAACTTTCAACCCTCTTCGAGCTCGCGTGCAGACTTGACGATCGGTCGCCAAGGCTGCCTTGCACCTCCAACACACAGCAACGAGCGCACGCAACGGGAAGCGCCATTGGCTCCACCAAGTCGTGCGTGCCGAGACCGCGGCACTCGACACACAAAAAAACAAGATCTTACACAACTTCACGTACGTGAGATTCGACGCGGTATAATAGCACCTCCTTCCGCCAAATAATATACGTCTCTAATGGCTCCACAAACAAGACAAACAAAGGTTGTTTGTTGCATGTTTCGCCGCACCCTCCCCCAACACCCGGAATGGGGTCGGTTCGTTCAGGAGTAATCATCCCCAAGGGATTTGACACCTCTAATCGCCTCCTACCTGTCTACTAGACCTCACGCCCCTCGACTCTGATTCCAACTTTTGAAAAATTGCCACCTCGAGAGAACAAGCACGCTTTCGGGTGTCTGTATTCACAGTATCCAGCATGCAAGGTATTAAAATCCCCCCCTCGACAGAGCAAGCACGCTGTGGGGTGCGTGTATCACAGCACAGCGTTTACTAGTTACTACATAGTCGCGGGCACGAGCACACGAGCTAGCTTGATTCAATCAACCGATCAATTAGTCAGTCGTCACGGCCTTGGCGAGGTTGCGCGGGGTGTCCGGGTTGATGCCCTTGGCCAGCGACAGCTCGTACGCGATGAACTGCAGTGGCAACACCGCGATCAGAGCCGTCAACGCGCCCTGAAAGCGAGTTCGGGCGGGGGGCGACGACAGCGGAGATTTGGTTGACGGGGGTCATGCACTCAAGACGCCATCCGCAACCAGCGTTGATGAATCATCACAGCGAAAAGCCCGAGACGGAAAAATCGAATGCTTCTATCTTGTACAAACATCGCGGAGTTTTCGAAACTTGCAAGACTTCCCCCCCCATGGGAACAATGCCTCGTCCTCTCGAGGACGCGTGGTGGTCAATGGTCTATAACAACAATTGAGGCACGCAAAACAAGAGTCCCCCCCCCCTTGTTCTCACATTATTCGGTATGACAATCGGGTTGGGGTCCAGACCATCCGCGAGCCTTGGGTTGTCCGTGATGACGGTCAGCTGCGCGCCCCTAGCCTTGACTTCTTCGCCGCACGTTCGCATCTGTCGCACCAAACCGTTTAAATGTTTGATTCACGTTCCCCAAACCCAAATAGGCATGCACGGAACCCATCGGTTACGGTGGTTTGTTTCCCGCTGGACGAAGCAGGGCACGGGGGCTTCGTAGAGAGCTTGCTTGGTGAAGGATCCGACTTGCCAGAATCTCGTGCCTTGTTCGCGCACAGGGGGAAATCCATATCGAACCCTCCCGGCTGCTGGTATCTACCGACTGCCCCCACACGACGACTCAGAACGAAAAATGACGCCCGCGCCCGCGTTCTTGAGGGAAAGAGCTTTCGTTCATTTCAGCGGAAGCAGCAGCAGCAGCAGTAGCTGCCGTACTACTTCGAAACGAACCGGAATGGTCTATGGTTTCAATACGCCCCCAAGTCTATCTACCTTGGACGTATGTCCGCAACGAAAGAAACGCGGTACAGTACCTGGTCAGCTGCAGCAGTATTTCTAAACGGACCGGTATCTTTGCATACGCCCCCAAGAGTCCATCTAGCTCGAGCGTTCGTCCGCAAGGAAAGGAAACGGGGTTATACCCACCTGGTGGGCGTGGTCGTCGTCCAGGATGAGGAGGATGATGGGCGTCGCCCCGTTGTCTCCCTCCGCTCCCTCGATCAGGGCGAACGGCCCGTGCTTGAGAGCTCCGCCGCTGTAACCCTCGGCGTGAATGTAGGCCATCTCCTTCAGCTTTAGAGCCCCCTGGATATGGGAGAGAGGGGGGGGGGGGTGCATGAGGAGAGAGGGCAGAGGGGGACGGAGACAAACCGAGATGGACAGAGAAGGCCAACGAGTGAGAGAAGAGAGGGAGGGAGATATATATATACATATATATATAGAGAGAGAGGGAGGAAGCGAAAACACAACGTCGTCGTGCACCACTAAGAAACACATCCTGGCCAACAGAAGGTGGGAGAGGAGCGGGGGGCAGGGCAGCACTATAACAGACACGATGAGAAAAACACGACTGCCGTTCACATCTCGAACCAGGCGCGGCGTGTAGAGTCGGGTTTTGGGAGTACTGTCCTACGCCGGATAGTTCTAGAGAGGCTCTCGTGGTGATTCCATCACACGAGACAAGCGGGGGACCGTTTTTGCTCCTTTCCGGGTTGGCAACGCGTGGTTGCGTGCGTGTACGGTCGACAGTGGAACGAACTCCTGTCCGATTCTGAGTCCAAAAAGCAGCTAGCAAAGGCGACGGCCACGGGAATGGCGACACTGCAGTAGACTGCAGTAAATTGAGGTACCCTGATCCTCGAGAAAATCATCACCGGCGACTTGCGATATTCCGATGCCCGAATTAGGGGGGCAGTAGGCGGGGCGTTCCTGAGGGTGGTACCAGTACGTCATATCACTCCCTCCCTTCTTCTGCCTCTCCATATCCATTGGAAGCCTGTATATGGTTAACCTAAAGAGTGACAAAATCTCTCACAAGCAAGGGACTACGACGAGACCTCTCTCTGTCTGCCTCTCTCTCTCTGTCTGTCTCCACGTATCCAGGGAGGCCTGCATATGGCCTATACCGAGTGACAGAACCTCCCACAGACAGGGGACTACAAGGGTAAGCTTACCAGACACACGAACGAACGCAGGTAAAAACAAGAGAGCATGACCAACACCACCTTCACCGTCGTTCACCACTCCTACCGCGACTAAAACAAGCTCAAGGACGGTTACTTTTAGTACCTCATATGCCACGGGTTCTCCGTAGCCCTTTCCCAGCACGAAGATGTGCTTCTTGTCCGCCAGCTTTTCCGCCACCAGCTTACACTGCTGGCGAACCTGTCCAAATCGTGTAACGTACGTGGGGAAAAGAGAAGCAGCACGAAATTGACGAACTACCAGTCCCACAACAACGACAACAATGCTCACATCGTGGGCGGGGAACAACCCGTCCCGCCCTACGCGTATCTCGGGTAACGCAAGACACACACAGAGCAACGACAGCCAGAAAAATAACAACAAACAGGAGACGAGACACGAGAACAAGATGAAATAAAATCGAAACAAGAACGCCCCTTTACCCTCATGGCCATGCCGAAGCTGATGGGCAGTCGCTGCAGGGCCTCGAACAGCTTGCTCTTGTCGGGAAGACCGACCGACTCCGTCGCCTCCCCGCTCGCCAGCTCCGCCTCCCGCACTTGTCTGAACCACAGCGCCACAAGCGCTAGCACCGTCACCTAGGCAACAGAACAGCGTACGGACGGCGGGGCGAAGACGGCAATCAATCAATCAAGAGAGCAAGAAGGGCATTATGGTAAAGAGTTCCGTGGGGGAGAAGGAGGTGGAAAGGAAGGAACGTAAGAAGCCGACAACGCGGAGGAGGGGGGAGGGACGCGGGATAATACGGGGGGGGCGGGGGGGGGGGG